TCAAGTACATTGTCTCAACAAAGCATTTTTATAAGTATATTGTACAGTGAACATTATCGAATTATTACTAGTAACAGCTGATAAATGCTTCAATTACTTGGATTAGGCAATGAGTTTCTTCCCTCCCCACCCTTAGTGAAATCAAGTGTACCATACTCAGTTGTGTGGTTCAAATTTCGTACTATGGGAAGGGAGGGACGGTTCATTTATTGTAAATATGAGTTCTAATATTTCTCTTTGTTAAATTCTACTAATATTACAATTAGTTGTTATGAATTTTTTCAATTTCTCCCAAAAACCAATGTAATTTTTTTTGTATGATTTTGTATTACCTGTATATCGATCTGCTTCAAATTATTTCAATTGTGTCAATGGGTGGAGAATTTTAATAACAGCAATAAAGAAATGTTCTGCACGCGTTCTCTGTTGAGATGGTTGTAATTTATTCGTTAATTCTATGAACTATATTCAGACGTAAAATATAACGTCAACCCCCTCTATAACGTCAACCCTCGCTATAACGGACATATAAGCGATCTTAATTAACAAGTTTGCTATAGTGAGTGTTTGCTCTAAGGAGATTACTTTCACTCATTGCTTTAGAGCGGGTATTTATTTAAGTGTCCGTAATCATGCGGTGTCCGTAATCATGCATTGTCCGTAATATCGAGGTCTATTATTTGGTTTCTTGGAAACTCCGTTCGATAACGACCAGTAAAGCCATGGCTTCTTATTTCTCAATAGTTTTCAATCTCCAGCCTCCTCCGAAGGCGTCTCACTTCCGCTTTCCTTTCTACTCTTGGGCTTCCTGTGTTAGGGTTCCCCCTAAGTAGAAAATATCGTGGCTGGAGGCCATTCAACTTCGATATGTGGCGGCTAAAGGGGTATAAGCTCCGAGGATTTTGTCGCCAATTTTCTTTTTTCTGACTTTCCGTTTTGCGGCCACGTTTTCCTTTCTTCCAGTAGAATGTGTATGCATTTATTTCTGGAAATATTCCTGGTTCTTTCTCTATTTCGTACGAAAAACGAAGCGGTCTTAGACCCTTCTCTCTTGTTAGACAAACGATTCAGGCAAATATTTCAATATTTTTCCAGCTCTTTTGGGGCTACCATAAGAGAGAGTAAACGAAGTGTAATGATCATCAATCTCGGGYACTACATCAATATCATCGAGCTGATGRCAACTGCAAGGAGGCGCCGAGTCTATGGTCAAATAACTAAAGTCTAACGGCTGATCTCGTGTCGGTGATATCGGCTTGTCCTCTAATATGATACCCTCATCCAAATAATTAAATTGAAAATGTGGCTTGCTGCACGGTARTTTTTTCTTTCGTTTTCGCCTGGGAGTTTCCGTCTCAAATGTCGTTTCTTCTTCAGTATATGTGTTTGTTGTGTCTCGCCGTGATATTCCTCCGAAGCTAATGCTTAAGCCAGTTGGTTTTGATTTTTTTCGTTTTGGGACCTTCTCGGCCGTGATTGAACCGTTTCTTTCATTTTGTTCTTGTCGTTGGACTAAGATTCGACCGTCGAGGACTCTGTATATAGAAATTAAGTAATTTAGTGCATTATTCGAAGGGTAAGACCAAACTGCGCGCACATTACTTAATATAGTACGCAATAGGCCATTTCTAATACCTATAGCTCAAAGCACCGATTGRAAAAAAGGTTTATCTATAAAACCTTTTTTGCCGGAAAAATAATTTYTAAATTTTACGATTTCTTTACATCAAGTCAGAGCTCTTTGCATTTTTACATCACCGTAAATRCAAAATCATATTAGGGGYTGATTTCAGTTTCCCATCATGCCCCCTTGGAAAGGAGTGGACATTTAAGTATTTCACAGGAATATGTAATACAAGAAATACGTATTTTTGACTGACCTTCGCCTGTATCTGTCGTACGCTAGTATTATTAGAGCAGTCAACCAGATAATAAGGACGGAGGATGGTATAGCGACGGCTAGCACTGCTTCACTTGATGAGATCTAGAATYGAATGGTATAGTCAGCAGGGGTGGACCCAGGGGAGGTGCTTTGGGTGCGGACGCTCCCCACTTTTGGGACGACGTATTTTTTTTATATATCAGTATAAACGTTTTTTTCTGCTGTTTATACTCCTGTTGTACTTTTATGGAGAAAACGAGTAGCATACACAAYATGTGTCTGAAGAAGAGGCTTTGCCGGGACACTGAGCAAATTGAGAGAACTCAGCCCTGCGCCTATAGTTCAAATGGTGCAGTCAAAATGCGTCGTATAGATTGGTATAAAACGTTTTGCTGCGCATCGTGACTAGTTGAAACCAGACTTGATCACTGTAAGCTTAAAGCGGATTTTGTATGACTGTGCAAAGAACACGGTCCTTTCGCGTTGTGACCGTACCGTGCCGTAGCGATGATGTCTTGTTAAATCTTTATTTTTATTTGGAATCCTAGAAGGCGAGGTTCCGTGATCCGTGCCGTTGCACAGTCATACCATAGTCGTCTCGCTTTGAGCACCTTTCAAGATGGCGCAGGAAATCGAAAACAAGAAACCAAACGTACCTGACGCACTGCAATCACATTTTTTATATTATTAGGATCGTAATAACATGGATACGTGGCGTTATCCTGAAAAATATAACTAGATTGTAAACATATAAAATATCTACTTGTTTGTGGGGCTAACTATGTATCTTCCATAAAATGACGTCCAAAACATTTTTGATATACTATATGAGATCACAGTGCAATATTT